CCTGTGGGTAAATCCGACGAATAAATTTCGTCTTTGACGGAATCAGAAAGCCCATATAAAAACATGTCCCATTGCGCCTCCGAATTCCAACCACACTCCGCAGCCAAAGTGCGAAACTCAATAGAATAGTCGGTTACAGTGCGTTCCCCTTGACGCAGCTCCGCGAGAAGTCGTGTTGCCTCTCTGCCCGAAGCAGCGTGATCAAACACTTTCTTGAGTTCCTCAGAAAATGACTGGAATGAGCAACAGCAAGGAAGCCTCTGCTCCCACACGGTAGTTCCCCAGCTAGCTGCCCGTCCCGAGAGCAAAGTTATAACAAAAGCCACCTTAGATTCCTCAGTGGGAAACGATGAAGGTTGCAGAGAAAGGTACAGGGAACATTTGGCCAAGAATGGGCGACATAACAGGGGCTCCCCGGAGTAAAAGGCCGGGGGTGGTAGACGAGGTTCGGCGGAGCGGACGATCAGATCCACAGGAACAAGTGGGTTGAGCGTGGGTGGTTACTGAGCTGAGGCGGTCTCCACCCTCGATTGATGAAACTGAGTAGTTAACTGAGAAACCAGGGCCTGGACAGCACGACCCGTAGCCATCATTTGTTCTTCCTGGCGCTCCATGCGGGTGTTGCTGCTAGACAGAAAGTCTCTCAGTTCCGCCGTACTCGCTGGATCCATAGTGGTCGGTTCGTTCTGTCACAATGAGGAGTCTCGAGATCGAAGTGCGAGTGCAACGAGGTTTATTGAGAAACAATAACCAGAGAGAACAGCTGGGAAAAAAACGCAAACATGAACCTCAGCGGACATCAGAAAGCTTGCTCTGTGAGTGAGGGATCTCCGATCCAGTGCAGGTGAATCCGAAGATTGCGGAACAATCCTCAATAGGCTGGACGAGAACTGGAACAACGAGCTGACAGAGAGACAGGACATAAGTTAACGAACCGACAAACACACATTGAACATAGAGCCCTATATAAAGGCAGTGCAAATGAGTTGCAGCTGGCGCTCTCTGATAGAGCGCCAGCTGCCACCACTATTGAATGACATAACACACACACACCCACATGACAAGATGCAAAAGGACCGCACGGACCCATGAACCGTGACACAATCAGACACACAACTTTTTGTTATATTTAACAAATAATATCTAATGCCCCCTCACCTAACCAAAGGGCCAATTACGAGAGTCTATGGACCCTTCCCCCAAAATGCATCTAACACCTCAGAAAGGCAGAACAGGCCTCTGGTTCCATGCAACCAATGCTGATATAATTATTAATTAAAGCGCTTTTCTAGGCACTCAAAGTGCTTTACATTGTCAGGGGGTATCTCCTTATCCACCACCAGTGTGCAGCACAATAGCAATATTCAACGCTTTATGTTTAATATATCAAAACATTATTTATGCATTTGTAACTGCAGGTTAAATGGTCATGTTCTGCTTTAAACAGTGTGTAAATACATCTAAATGCTACTTCAGATGCAGCTTCTGTGTTTCCTCTGCATTGCAAAGATGAATTGTGTTGATACTGATTTAATTTGCTTGGTAACAGCCCAAATGCAAGAATTTGACTCAAAAGATATCCTGGGATTTTTAATGACCACAGAGAGTCAGGACCTCGGTGTAACGTCTCATCTGAAGGATGGAGCTTGTTGACAGTGTAGTGTCCCTGTCACTATACTGGGGCGTTAGGGCCCACACAGACCACAGGGTGAGCACCCCCTGCTGGCCTCACTAACACCTCTTCCAGCAGCAA